GTGGGAGTGGGCCCACGTGGATAATGAGAGAGAGTGTAAATACCAGGTTACCCTTACTTAGTAGTCAAATGTATACATTTGACCATGGTATGTCCATATATTTACGATATTGCCACCATATATTTGGCTCCACTTATTAAAATTTGATTTGATCATGACTGTTGACTTGATGGATCCAATATTCGTCCAAATTAATTTTTATTTCTTTCACTATCTACTATTCTTATTTGAGCACAACACACACACACACACACATATATATATATACTAGTTGTCTTCCGGTTGTGCATGCACAACCGACTCAAATTGAGTCGACAAATGAATTAAAATTCGACATAAGTTAAGCATACACAATGTCAGACGTAGTTCAATCCCCTATTTTCTTATATTTTTTTTTAAAGAGATGTCGATGTAATGTTAAAATAATTAGTTGAATTTGTAATTTGTTTTTTATTACTGTTATTAAAATTTAGACAACCCAACAAAGTTAGAAAAAAAAAGAATCTAGAACGTTTATCTTGAACAAATTGCTTGAATAGGCTTCTCAATGTTGCCCATTTTAAATCAATAACAACAAGAGTCCATGATAGGGAAGAACAAATTGACTATGCAAAAGTAAAAATATACAAGGAACAGGAATAAAATCTTAAAAGAAGTTGATGGGCCTACATCTCATGTTTGAAAATACAAGGCTAAATTTTACTTTTAGTCCACTATGTTGTCCATTTTCCGAAAAAGGTCCATCATATAGGGTGTCATCAATAATGGTCCACTAAATTGTCACTTTTAATCAAAACTCGTACAAATGCCAACATAGTGGACTAGATAATCACTTTTAATCCACTATGTTGGCATTTGTACGAGTTTTGATTAAAAGTGACAATTTAGAGGACCATTATTGATGACACCCTATATGATGGACCTTTTTCGGAAAATGGCCAACATAATGGACCATTTTTGAAATTTTGCCGAAAATACAACGTCGGGTTGAAAAATAACATAAGGACCTTACAACAAGAACATATATTAAAATGTAGATGCTTCAAAGACTGATGGTGTTGGTGTTAAGATAATATGAACTGCACTCTGGGTTCAGCCAAATATTTTCGCTGTTAGTTATGTTATCAAAGTTATCCAACCATGTAGGTAAAAGAACTATCTCACATCGATGTTGTTCGTATAAGAACTCCTCTTCGTTCTCGTTCCAATCGAGTTGTGCGAAGATGTTTGGAACAAAACTATCAACACCAACGGTTTGTAACACCGATGGTTTGTGTGCTTGTAGTCCTATTTATTTGAGCCCAAGTAGTCTGCAATTGGTACCGTTGGCAATTAAATAGGGTACGTAGCAGCCTAAGTAAACAAATCTAAGCAATAATAAACCGAAGAACGATAATTATAAAATATAATGACAGGTTAATTCTTATTAGTTGACACGACCTAATAATTATACAAATTTTTGAGCATATAAGCAAACTACTTTTCATATTTTAGTGTGAGCCTCTTAAAGTTCCAACCTTTTTTTAGAATACAAGAACTAAGAACATCAGATTAATGACCCGGTATTGATCATTCACATATCATGGTTATGTTTGCTACTTACCAAGTTGAACAAAAAGAATTCATTAAGTGCATGAAGTAATTATCAATAGGACAATGTGCAAATAAGAAGTGTGGAATAACTTAACACAAACAAACAACCAGGGGCGGATCCAGAAAAGGGGAGGGACTAGACTCAACCATAGTTGTTCAAGAATATAACTTGGTTTGGTTTTTGAAAGTTTAAGGCCGAAGAGTTTGAATAATAGATTACGTTTATAGACGTGCTCGCAAACAATTCGATTAGAATTTAAATTTTGAATTTATTAAAACGGTTCAAGTGGATCAGCCGAACGTTATCTCACATTATTATTTATTTAATAGACAAGTCAAAACAATTTTGAATATAAGGTACTTGACAAATCTGAAGTAGATGACATTTTGAAGGGAGTATATAATTTTTAATTGCATAAAATTACATTTATTAGTATATATATAATAAGTAAAGTTTACTTAAAAATGAAAATGTAAATAATAAAGTTAGCAGTATAAAAATTCACTATCATTTAAGTTTGATAGTATAAAAGTTTGTTATACGTTCTATCAACTCATGAAATTCACCAACAATTAACTCGTTATTAATATTTATTGCAATTTCCTATTCAACCTCATGAAATTGCAAATACGCATGCTCTCCTATTTCAAATAACGAATTTTCAAATGTTTACATTTCTCACGATAAGAAACACTTATATTCACAAAAAACCAAGACAAAAGAAGAGTTATTCAACAGAATAAACAGCCAACAACTGAATGAGTTGACTGCTGACTCTTGTAGAGAGGACTACACGTACACACGGAGGGCAACCTAGAAACCACCTACAACACGCACAAAAACTAAAAAACTCCTAAAAGAAGAAGAAATCAAAAGCTCCCAACAGGAGAATACACCTAACACACTCCTAACAGAAGAGAAAGAGAAAAAAAACACAGACGAAACGAACCAAAACACACAGACACTAGCAAACAAGCTAAAACAAAACTAAAAACAACTAAACAATCCTCCTCGTGGCAGACTAACTACACCAAGCTACACAACAGCAACGCTAAATGAACCTCCATCCAAACAGACTTAGCCACAACCCCGAGTCCGACACAAAAACTGCAAAAGAACGTCTGACTAAGTCCGACACCAACGACCCCAACCCAAATCCGGACGTACGCCCCAACCCTATCCCGGAGACCCACACCTCAACCACCCACTATCAAATGTTTTTCTATTAGTTTGTATTACTATTAACATATAGTTATACCAACCTTTTATTATTTCAACCGGTTTTATCAAACAATCGAGATTGAGTATGTTATTGTGATTTTTAGATTTATCTTTAGGAATAAATTCCTTCATAATGTAATTCTTTATTTTATTTTTCTTGTAGGGTTTTGTCTTACTTGTATTCATGTTCATCATTACTGGGATATTTATTTCCAGGAATGATTTTTCATCATTCCTTCATAATGTAATTCTTCAGGAGTCATGAACTCATGAGTGACACGATAATTACTTGGTCCTGGAGGAATATCCTTCATATCTTCTTCAATTTATTCACTTTCTGAACAAGAGTTGATATAATTTCTAATGAATTTCTTTTAGAGATAATACGTTCTGATATTTGTCTAAGAGAGACTGGATATCAGTTTCACTTTGATAGAATCAGTTTCACTGTTCATTTTTCTTCAAGTCATTTTTTCTTACATAATTAAATTAATTTCTAAGATCTTATTCTTTTGGAGGTCTATATGTAGGCATAGACTTCTTTTCTTCAGTATTTTGTAAAAATCTTTCTATCTCTAATAATTTAGCATCTTGGTTACTACAATCAAACCGTTGTATATTTTGCTCAATTCTTAGAACAAGTTTTTTTATATCACTAACTATTGTTAGGATCTGTTGTACATTTCCTACTTCAAGAGTTTTAGCTATTTATTCCTAATTATTATTTACAAGTAAAATTACTTTACTTAGCTTTTCCATGAATGGTTCAATTTGTGGAATTTTCTCGTCTAATTTTATTAAGATTTCTTCTAATCTATTTATGTTTATTCTAGTAAAATTTTTAATGATTTTATCAGTTTTTGCTGCAATATCAAGAAATTCAATATTTCTGCTCGTTTTTTTTAAGTTCTCCAAGCATTAATTCTTGATTATTTTAGATTTTTTTCAATATTTTTTCAAAGAGGAGTATTATTTGACCTACCCATTTTCTAAAGATTTAGAACATAAGCATTTTTAGCTTATTTTTTGATGGGCTTTTACGATTTTCCCCAAAAAAATAGGATTTTTGAGGGTATAAATTAGACATGGCCACAGGCCGAATCAGCCCGTGGCCCGCCCCGCGAACCGGTACCTGCCCGGCCCAAACTGGCCACTTAAGGGTTGGTTCGTTGAACCGGGACCCATAAGGCCGCGATTCGGTCCCGGTTCCTTTTTTTTTTTTTTGGACCCGCCGGTCCGGGCCAAGTCGGGCTGGGTCGGACGACGGGTCACCTTGTTAAAGTTTTTTTTTTAAAAGGGCCTTACCGACCCGTGAACCTGTGGTTCGGGCCGATACTGTGAACCGGCCCTTGGTTTTTAGGCGGGCCGGTCGCGGACCATGTGTTGGATGGCCCGTGGCCCGGGCTGGGAACCGGCACGTGGCCACCTCTAGTATAAATGTCTTATTTTTGTTTTATAGAGTTTTGAATTATGTTTTATAAAAATTTGTGGGTCAAGGGTGATTTGAATAAATTGGTTTTTACGAGCGAGGGTATTCTCAACTCATTTCCCTCTATACATTAGTACTTCAAAAGTCAAAACCACATGATTGGTTGTACTCTGGCATCAACATTTGTAGTTGACATCACTTCCACAGATGATATTCTTTCAAAAATAAAACAAACAAAAGAAAAGGTGGTACATGAACAAATAGGTTTTTGCATCTCCACTGCCTGAGGCTGAGTCATTAAAAGTAAACACAAGTGAAAAGGAAACAAATATGCCTGGACAAGGTCTGAACAAGCTAATCTAGGTTAATTCTATCATGTCCGAAAACCAGACGAGAATAATTCTAGAGTTGGATCAGTAGTACTCGGTGCACATTGTCTCAGAGGGTGATCGAACGAGTTTCACCATCGCACGTATTTTTCTTATTATAAATCCCATTTGGCGGCCTGAACAAGAGATAAATACCACCATATAAGTAACTCAAATAAGAATAAAGATCCATGAGAAAGTGTATATGGTCTGATGAAAGAAAGTGTATAGACCCCTTACAAAAGAATATGTGGATTTGTCAATAAATATGCATAATACCCTTTCCGGTTATGCAATTTGTAACATTTAAACAAATATTAGGTTGATCATAATTGTTAAAGATAGTTTTGGGTTAGCTGCTTTATTTTGGTTTTTCCCTATCATTGACCTCAAGAATATGTTTGGGAAATCAGGCTATAAAATAGAGCTTCGTGATGCTTAGATTGAGTTATGAAAAAAATAAATAATACAAAAGAAAGAAAAAGCGAAAAGATAATTCATGCGGAAAAACACATACGCGAGGTGCAGGGTTGTGTCTGAGACGTCATCTTCAAGCCCACCATCACAATCCATTTCAGGGCTTATAGTTATAGAGCCTTCTTTGATGGCAAGGTTGCTCGTTTGCTCTGTTGAAGGGTACTCTATACCAAGTGGAGTAGCGAAACTTGATGAAGGAAAAAAGATTCGAAGCTCATCAACCTACCATTTTCGTGTCAACCCCATTATATGAAATTTCCATCATAATGTTGCAACACAGTTAAAAAAAAAAAAGGAAAGATTTATTAAAGTTAATAATATAAAATGAAAGCATCATCTTTACCTGTCTGCGTAAGGTCTCATTTTCCAGCACCGCTCTTTGTTCCTGCATGAGTGGAAAAAGGAGACTTCAAGAGAAGAGAAAGTCTACCTCTAAAGCTAAAATTTTGCTTAGTGTAAGTTGGTTTCTTTTCTTGGAAAGATTACGTGAAAATATAAAATAAAGATACAGTTTACCAAAAAAAAAAAAAATCGTCCAGGTAACTTGGCAAATTATAGAAGCTAAACTTAAGGTTAATGACAAACTTAAGGTATGCACCACCACCAATTGATGAAAGCTAATGATACCTACTTAACTTCATCTGTGTTGTTTTCTAAAGGGTAGGTAGTTGTTATAATCCTCCATCAAAATAAAACAAAATGTTTTACCTGCATTCTGCATTCATCTAGTTGCTGCATCAATACCTTCTCCTATAAATGTAGAAAAATAAAAATTAAAAAAAAAATCACTTCGGGTACGAAAAGTATCTTAAGCAACTCAATGAAAATGTAAATTGAAAAACCTTTCGTTCCTTTATGCACCACAGCCCTTCATTTAGTTGTCGTTCGAGTGCATGCAACTCTTGTAAGCCCATGCCTGTTAAATCTTTACCCAACAATTGCCTGCTCATTATGGCCACACAGGATTTAGATAAGAGATTTCAAGAATATTCATGGCAGAAAATTCAATATTTTTTTTAGAAGTAGTACAGCTGTTTTAGTTTGAGATTTTCTATCTCCACTTTCAGGGCATCTGTCTCGTTAGGCTGCTGGACCATCTGATATAAAACGAGGAGAAAAAAAAAAAAACAACGGTCAGAAATATCAATCGCACCTCCAAAGCAAAAAATTAAGGCGCTGATCAAGTGATGTGATGACTCTTAAAATAATAAACAAATGAATAATACTATAGTGGAAACATAGGAAAACCATTCCTTTTTGCATTATTTATTTAATTAAAGGTGGTGCTCTGTTTACAGCCCCTCAAAGCATTCCTTTTATTTAACCATGACAATCATATCAACCTTCAATGTGGTTCAATTTTGGAATAATCTCTACGGAAAGCTATATATAGAAAACGATAAGACTTAAGGATACAAAACAAAAAATAACAGACCAATATCCCGTCACGTGGAAAAAGCAAATACCTCAGGCTTGGATTCCGCTAAAGGAGCATGTTTTCCATCCGAGCATTTCTTGTATCTCGAGAGAATTCTTGTCATGCTGCAGTTAGATGCATGTATTGAACTATAAGTATTCTCTTCATACTGAAGCTAACGCTTCACAACACCATCAACATTTAGGTAGACTCGTAAGAGAATGAAAAGGTGAAATTTAGAAAGTAATGGTGATTCTGCTCACAAGGAATGTGATTTGAGTAATAAAGATTAAGTTACTAATTTTTTTCTTTTCGGTGTTATCAAGAGCCTCAGTATAATTTAATAATGTAAAGAATGCATTCGGTAATTATATATATGTATACATTGTTAAACAAAAAGGCAAACATATTGCAATCAAAGATGCCAAATAAATTTTTAACTAAGCAGAATCTTAGTAAATAGTTTATCACAAAGATTCCATGAAAAAAAAATTAAAAATAAAATAGATTTAACCTCAATGAAATTAATTTAATATGCAAACAAATAATTATTACCATTCCATTTCTTTCATAGATCCTAAATATTTTACCTTCCCACTAATTCTTTCGTAAATACTAAATATTCCTAGCAGCAATTCAGCAGTTTGTCACACGTAGAAGCATGAAAAGGAAACATATATGAAAGTAAAATAAATAGACCAAAATCACCCATAAGACCACCTAAAAATCAGGGGAGAAAAGTAGGATAGAGATAAGGAGATTGGAACAAATATATTAAGAAATCCACAAATAAAAAATAAAATCTCTAGACAAACCGAAAACCTCACTCTTTGAATTCCATAAGAATTAGGGAAATGCTACGGTCCCGTTACGGAACTATTTGGTCGGGGTTTGTAACCATTAGGTCATCGTGTAACGGTCGGGGATAATTGATCTAACGGTTATAAACCCCGACGGAATGGTTCCGTAACGAGATCGTAGCATCTCCCAAAAATTAAACTAATAACCGACGTAGAATTTATTGGAGCACAAAAGGAAAAGATTTTTTTCCCCTCATTAATAAGCACCAAACGAGAAGAAAAAAGGGGAGATGCTACGGTCCCTTCGGTGTTCATCGTTAGATCAACTATCTCCGACGGTTACATGATGATCTAATGGTTACAAATCTGACAGAATGGTTCCGTAACGGGACCGTAGTATTTCCCACAAAAAGATACTAAAATCTCTAATTAGGCCCCCAAAAAAAAAATTAATTAAGCATCAAAAAGCCACATGCAGATCTACAAACCAGCAAATCAAGAAAATTTCAACATCCACCCAATACATCTACTTCAGTAATAAACCAAATTTCATTACAGAAGACAGAGTAAAACACACATGCAACCACAAGACATGTTCAAAAAAATCCCCCAAATAACTATACAACACAAATCTAAGTAAAAACAAAAAGTCGAAAATCAGGAAAAAGTGCGGCAACTGCAAGCAAACCTGGAACTGGAAAACTCGAACAGCTTCCCAGTGTTGGAGAAGATGATGACGGCGATGTCGGCTTCGCACAGAATCGCGAGCTCCTTGGCCTTCTTGAACAAGCCCATACGCCTCTTGGAGAAAGTGACCTGTCTGCTATTCGGGTTCTCGATCTTCTTAATCTCGATTTTGCCCCGACCCATTTGCCTCCCCGCAAAACCCACCAAGAATCGCCGCTCAAAAGACCCCAATTCGATCTGCTCAGAATTGTAAAGATTCAATTTTTATTCAATTTTTTTGAAAAAAAAAAAAAAGATTTGGGGGAAAACACAAAAATAGACAAGATTGCCAAAATAAGAATAGACAGGGAGAATACAGAGAGGCGCTTAGAGAGAGAGAGAGAGAGAGAGAGAGAGAAATATATAAAGGCCACAAATGGCACTCGAAACGGCAAGCCTTGCTTTGCATGGCCTATCCAATGTATACAGATATTTGCATGATTCTGTTTTTATTTTTTATTTTATTTTTTCCTTTACTTGCCACATTCAGCTCGGGCTTTGTTTTTATTGGCTTAGTTTAGGTGTGGGTCCCTCATAATAATATTTTCACTTTTTTCATGCTTCCTTTATATGTACCTAAATAAATAATACTACCTCCTATTAAAATATAGATGTGGTTTTGAGAAGTTGCACATTAATTAAGAATATTTTTTTTGTCAATAATACCCCTATTTAATGAAGATAGAGATCAATGTTTTGAGAAAAAGTGAAGAGAGAATATGAAAAGATGTAATGTATTTATTAGCTAAATGAGGGTAATAATGGAAAAATATGTACAAAAGATCCAAAACGACATTTATTTAGCAAATAGTTGATAAAGCTAGAATGACATTTAAAAAAAATAGGAGAGAGTAGGATGTTTTATGGTAAATAAAAAAAAATAA